AGCCGAGTGTGAAGCGGCTGGGATGAGAATCAGCACCTCCAAATCCGAGGCCATGGTTCTCAGTCGGAAAAGGGTGGATTGTTCCCTTCAGGTTGGTGGAGAGTTCCTGCTTCAAGTGAAGGAAGTGGAGGCGAAGCTCTCGATTTACTGGTCAATCTACGTTCCGACTCTCACCTATGGTCATGAACTTTGGGTCATGACCGAAAGGGCAAGATCCCGGATACAGGAGGCCAAAATGAGCTTTCTTCGCAGGGCGGCCAGGCGCACCCTTAGAGATAGGGTGAGGAGCTCGGTCACCCGGGAGGAGCTCAGAGTAGAACCGCTGCTCCTCCACATCGAGAGGAGCCAGCTGAGGTGGCTCGGGCATCTGTTTTGGATGCCTCCTGGGCGCCTTCCTAGGGAGGTGTTCCAGGCATGTCCCACCGGAAGGAGGCCCCTGGGAACGCCTTGGCATTCCCCCGGAGGAACTGGAGGAAGTGTCTGGAGAGAGGGAAGTCTGGGCATCTTTGCTTAGACTGCTGCCCCCGCAACCCGGTCCCGGATAAGCGGAGGAAAATGGATGGATGTAATGCCATGCACATGCACACTTTGGAAATGCATGCAAATATGCCAGAGATATTTAACTGATAATTTTTAATTAGGATTTGAAACTGTGTATGCAAACTGAATGACACAAATTCAAAAAAAGACAAACAAGCAAAACACGCATATATGACACATAGGTGTCTTACTTTGCAGATAATTACTTGTTCTTCTTGAATAAATTTAAATTTCAGTCATTTTCTTAAGTATACATCATCAATATGGAAAGTAGGAATGATAAGAAGTCAGCTCTAAAGTACTTATTAAGTTAAAATTGATAAATTAAGGACTACAAATTTTGCAAAGCTCAACAAAAACAGGATATAGCACAGAGGTTTTCAACTAACTGTGATCCAGGGTCTACCACAGGGTATGCACACTGTTGTGGGTTGGATAGACTGTTTTAATCCTGAAAGTCACCTTTGCTTTTTTAAGTCCTGTCTAATAGAATAGTAGGGATTCACGAAAAAATGTTTATCAAATGAAAATAATAATAATAATGATTCCTACATTGAAACTATATTACTGAATGCATAGGGAACAACCTCTAATGCCTTTGCAAACCATCAGGGAGTCACGGACGACTGGATGAAAACCTCTGATATAACAGAATCAAGCACAAGTAAAAAAAAAAAAAAACATTAAAAACTTGCAGATATGTTTGTTCCCAGTCACAATGTCCTCAACTTAAGTTTAGAACATTCTGTTTTGGGTGGAGTGTTGTATGGAGATACAGAGATATTTTTTCACATTACCTGCTGATGTGACCCACATCTGAATTTTTTCCACTTCAAGTGACTCTGAACAAACTTCATGAGGAAGGTTCTATGATACCAAAACTGAGCTTTTTGGCCATCAGACTAGATACTACATTTGATGTAAACCAAACCAAACATTGCACATCATTACAAACACACCATCCCCACTGTGAAGCATGGTTGTGGTAGCGTCATGCTGTGTGGATGCTTCTTGGCAGCAGGCCCTGTCTGGCTTGTGAACGTAGAGGGTAAAATGAATGCAACTAAATATAGGGAAATCCTGGAGGAAAACCTGATTCCCTCTGCCAAGACAACTGCAAGTTGGGAGAACATTTGCATTCCAACAAGACAATGACCCCAAGCTTACAGCCAGAACTGCACACAAATGGTTCCAGAACTGTAATGTTAATGTTCTGGAGTGGTCAAGTCAGAGCCCAATCCAAATGAGTATTTGTGGCTGAACATGACTGGACTGTTCATTAATGATCCCCTTACAACCTGACAGAGCTTGAGCAGTTTTGCAAAGAAGAATGGAGGAAAATTCCAATGTCAAGATGTGCAAAGCTGAATGAGACCTATCCACTCAGTATCTACTAAACACTGATTTAAAGGGGGTGAATACTTATGTAATTTGTTTACTGTCTTGTATTTTTAATTAATGTTCATCACTTTGTATAGATCTATACATTTGACATGGACCAAATCAAATACAACTTTATGTATATAGCATTTTACAACAACATCTAGTTGACCAAAGTGTTTCACACAATAAACAGATGAAAGGGGTAATTAAAAACATTAAAACAAAGTAAGCTAACTAAAATAAGAGCCAACAAAACAGTAAATATTTGACTTCATTAAGAATTAAATGCCTTATTAAATAAAAAAGTTTTAAAGAGATATTTAAATGCAACCAAATGTGTAACAGATCTAATATTAAAAGGCAAATCATTCCAAAGTTTTAGAGCCACAAAGGCAAAAGCCCTATTGTTTCAATGCATGTGGCGGGATCTTGGAACCTACAGGAGATACAAAGATGAAGATCAAAGAGATCTAACTGGGATGTGCCATTGAATAAGATTGCTGATACCGAGGTGCCAAACAATTTAAAACCTTAAAAACAAAAATCTGCAACTTAAGTTCAATTCTGAAACGAACCGGGAGGCAGTGAAGGGAAGCCACTACAGTTGAAATATGCTCATATTTCTGTGAATTCATCAGTAAACAAGCAACTGGAGACATGAAAGAAGTGATTTACTGACTCCAGAATACAGTGAATTATAGTAGTCTGGACAGAGAACTGATCCCTGGTGTACACTTCAAGCCCATGGAGCTGAATGAGAAGAGCAGGCACCAATATTGAATATAAAAGTTCTTTTAGATTAAAAATGATTCAAACCAGTGTAGGGCAGTACCTTGAATTCCTACACACTGAGCAAGTTGAGATTTGATAACCCACTGTATCAAAAACAGCTGATAGGACAAGGAGTACTAATAACACAAAGTCTCCAGAATCCCTAGCCAGCAGAACATCATTGCTAATTTTTAAAATAGCAGACTCTGTGCTGTGCCTTGGTGTAAAACCAGACTGGAACTTTTCATCAACGTCATTATCCTTAAAATACTGTATGACTGCAGTTGACTAAGAATATTTTCTTCTAAAAGTTTTGACATAAAAGATAATTTAGCCATGGCCTAAAATTAGATAAAACTGAGTGGTCCAAATTAGGTTTCTTAAGGAGGGGCTAAAAATTAGCCTCTTAAACATTTCAAGCTCGGCCCAACAACCTCGAAGATATCCTTAAATAATTTGGCTAATAAAATCCATGGGGCAATGAGAAACTTTAGCATGGTGAAGTATGTCTTCAAAAAAAGACAATGATACAGGTTCAAACTGGTCAAAAGCATCATGGCACATATAAACAACTAATGGATCAGAACCAACACCAGTTCACTGCCCAATATTAACAATCAGTGAAAGAGAAAGGCTTCACAAATTTCTACTGAGACTTCAGGGTAAGAAGGGGCTGATGGATTTATTATTGATTGTGCTAAATAACACCTGAGGTTTATGTTGGTTATTAGCAATCACACTAGTGAGATAATTAGTTTTAGCACTTTTAACAGCATTCTGATCATTTGAAAGACAATCCCTGAAGTAACCCAGAGAAACTCAAACATTTTCTTTTTTCCCATGTACGCTCCGCTTGGCAACACAACTGTCTGAAGGCATGAGTCGAGGCATTCAGCCAAGGCTCAGTTTTAACTTTAAGAGATTTCTGTTTAAGAGGAGCAGTAGAGTCCAACATACCCATGCAAGCTGACTCAAACAGTGAGCCAAATTCATGGATGAGTCTTTTTATGTTGATCAGTATGAAAAAGGTTAAATTCTACTGTAACAAAATAAAAGGTGAAAATTTCAAGGGGAGTGAATAATTTTTATAGGCTTTGTATACAGTATCTCTTACAAACATGATGGTAAACCATCAACACAAAAAGATCCAACCTGACAAACAAATTTGGAATTGATCATTAACCCCTGTTATGTGAACATACATAGCTGTAGAGATCATGAAAAGGTAGGTGTGTATTTTAACCAACTCACATGATGCTTTTGAAGTGGAGGTGACCCAGATACAGAACAACAACATACACACATAGAGCCAGGAAAACAGTTCTCACCTTATATGATATTGAGACACACAGGAAATTAACAATACTGGTAAATGACCACTGAAAATCAACTGTAGATGTGATAGAATACAATTCTACTTCATGTTTTTCTCTATCCAGTCTCGAAAGTTGGCAATTCGTATCTGAACTGTGTAAGTCTGTTGGTTGCAGTGCTTTTCCTCATAGCTGAAGCTCTCCAAACCAAGCAGTTGCCAGCCTGTGCTGGAGGCTCCCTGAGTCTCCCTGTGACCTGGCAAGACACCACTTGTTGATAAAAACACAGCAGGCATGGTCATGAGGCCTGGAAAAACACTGGGACAAGAGCTTTGAGGACTGGGCGGTCTTTGGATTACACAGAGGGTATTGTCACTGATCGTGGGGGTATGTGTTCCTCTATGAGTAAATGCTCTTTCACACTGAGCAACATCACTCAACTCAACAAGTTCTGTCTGGCTCAAGGGAGTGTAGTTTCTTAGGAGCCTGCCATTGTTTGGTAAAGTCCACCTTGCATTAAAAGCCTCTTGCACTGTTACTTCTCCTCCCTGCATTTTGGGTAGGCACACCGGCAACACACGCTCACTGATCTTGGCTTTGTCTTTTAGCTTGAGCACAGCCACATCAAAGTCGGGCGCAGAGTAAAAATTTGGATGGACTAAAATTTCTGAAACCTGTTCAGGCAGAAAGAGAGAGAAAAAATGGATTAAAAATTGGAAGTAGCAATACCTGAGAAAGCCTGATTCCACAAAGAATGTTCCAAGTTTTGTTATTTTTGGAATATCAGTTAAGATCAAATAATATGCGCCAAGATGCACAAATATTTCAAATCCACATCAAATACCATCATATCCCAGTAAATCTTAAAGTGCACATCTAAATGCCAAAAGATTTCTTCCTCCACTATTTATAAACAAAAACCTGGAAGATTATATTTATTTAAATGAAGATTCCTTACTTAATACGCTATCACTGCATCTGCTGCTTGGTAGTTTTTGCCATAATGAGAAACTTTTATATGCTATATGACCTGAAATTAAAAATGTGTAAAACCAGTGTGAGATCATTTATTGTTGCAGGTCAAAAGTTGTTTAGACATTTACAGTAGGTTAAAAGTGGAACAAATCTGTGTAGTTTCTATCCATTCACAAATGTTTAACCCAACAGGTCAAATCTATAGGTCACACATGGTTGTTTGTCCCTTCCTTGTCATATGACCCTGTCAGAAACATGCTGTTATGATTATGAAACTGTTCATTACGTTTTGTCACACAAAGTGCTTTGCTAATTTAGCCCAGTGTTAACTTTGGCATCCAAATGCCTTTACAACAATATCGAGACAGCTATGCATGTAAAGTTGTACATGATATTTTGTCTATCAAAGCATCGCCATCAAACCTTTTGACAAACTAATCTAAAAAAAAGCAAAATATAAAACATCTCACAAATATTTTATTGTTTAGTACCCTGAGGTGGTGCAGGCTTTTCATCCGATCCTTAGATGCCTGATACTGCATGCCTATGACAACTTTCATATGTGCTGGGTGAAGGGGCCCCTGCTTGTCCTTGTCTACCACACACTGAGCTGTCACAAGGACGCTACGCTGGGTGAGCAGAGCCCCGCTGCAGGCCAGGTACCAGAAGGACGATTCCTCTGAGGTCCCCTGCTGGTCAGACATGAACATTCCATGGGGCTTGTGGGTGCTGGCAGTAAGATCAGGAGGTGAGCGGATATAGATGGCTGCATGCCACGGCCACGGAGTGTCTGTAAGGTTTTGTGTGCTGAAAGTGTTGAATTTGCCACAAACTGTGGAAAGATAACAGGCAGTGAGGGGAAAGAAAGTGTCAAAAAAGCAATTTCCTAACAAATTTGATGCATGATATTAAAACAGTTTACTATAAATTCAAGGTAATACTCAGGTAAACATAAGTCTTCTGCTTTTGTCTTAACAAGAAAAGGCCATGCACACACAGACATACTGGATAATTAGACTTCTGCACTGATTGAAGTCGAGCAGATGGAAGTCATACAGATGTCAGTCAAGCACACTTTGCATGTGACCACATGGCCCTGAGTCCAGTGGATGTGTGACACGACACAGACACGTGTGTTAATAGAATAGCAACATTGAGAAAATCCACCTTTTGTTTCTTTCTCATTAGTTGTTTCCTGCTGTTTCCGGTTTTTATGCTAAGCTAAACCTGTGATATGAAACCACAGGCACTGGTCTGCTCATTTGCAGCAACATAAACAGCTGGGGGTCAAATACTGTACCATCCCTGCAATTAACTGCCAACCTGCTGTTCCAACCTACCACAGCTGCCAGTGTCACTCGGGTCAATTGGCCAACCAATAAAATCAATAAACCCATCAACACAAATAAACAAATTACAGCAAACTCCCTAGTGTAGCTGTGCAAAATGCTTTTGCCATACAAGTAAATGGAGAAAAGCCTTTCAATTAACCGTTTGCATGATAAAAGTGAAATGTTAAAAGTTGAGAAGTCAGTACACTACAAATCCTGAAATACCTTGAATTTTCTATAAAAACAGATTAGTAGTATTGTTAACCACATACGAGAGAACGTGTCTCATAAGATGGTAGCGTTTAGTGCATACCACTGAAAAACTGCTGAAAAACCTGAAAAAAGTTGTTTAAGCCTTTAGTTACTTAAAAATAAATAATGTTTACCTTCAGCAACATCCTAAATTCATATTTTTAATCACTACTCTCTCTTGCTCCCATAAAATCTGGTTGCCAAGCACGTGGCATTTTTGAACAGTCAGAAATCCTGTTGCGATGGACACCCCCCCCACAAATGAGAAGTCACTCAAAAGGCCAGATTGTTTCAGCACTGGAGGCTACATGATTATTGAAACAACGAGAGACACATTTTCTCCATATAGATCATTTGTCCCTACTGTCTGACATGACCCATAGGAGCATACAGGCTGCAGGCATACCGTACATTCTCATTAGGGTTACAATAATAAAGACATGGAACATGCCAGCATTATAAAACTGAGCCTTCATCATCATGACAATAATAAACATGCAACATAGTTAAGTCATGGTTTGGTTAGGGATAGGTACAACAACAACGTGTTAGGTTGTCAGTGAAATAACATGGTTCGGGTCAGTACTTGCCTTTGTTGTCATGGTTACAATAATACGCATGCTGTTAGGCAGTGGAGCAGTCATGGTTAAGTGAAGCAAACATTGGAAATGGAAAAAGAACAGCAGTCTCCTGTGTCAAAGTCCTGTGTATTGCAACTTATCCACCCAGCCCGGACTGCACCCTACCTTGTTGCTCAATGCTCTTCATCACCTGACTATCCCCTTTCTCATGTCATAAAGACTATGACTGCTACAAATCACCTATCAGTTAAACATAACTCTGGGTTGTAATAAGATACTTGCACAGATGACGTAGAGGGTCATTTAAAGGAGGACAGTGTCATTGTCGCAGAGGTAGAGAAGGTTTAAATCTGATAAAAAATAGTCAGTGCCTGGTTTCTCCTGTGCTTTCAGACGTTTTTGGCCAAACTACACTAAAAGCGCATTGAATTAAGCACTTCACAGGTTCGGTCTAAATTGTTGATTGTCTCACCAGGAGAGCAGGAAACATGGCGTCCACTCCATCTGCCATTCATCAGGCAGGTGCGCCGAGAACTTCCTGTGTTGTGGTAGAGAGCTGAGGCACATTTGTACTCGATGCTAGTGTAGACTGGATGAAATCCACGAGGAAGCTCTTCCAGGGTGGTGTCAACTCTTTCTACATTAGACTGTCTGTCCACTGTAAGTGGCGTAAAGCCGGCTGAGGACAAGTCATGCATGCTGTACCTGGATGAGCAGTGAAGAGAGAAATACACTTTGCTACAATGTCCACTTACTGGAAATTTTCCTGAGCTTTCAACTGCATACTGCTACCATCATCAAGAGATGGAGCAAATTTTTTGGCTATGGAGATTTTTTGCTGCATTTTTAAATGACTCTCCAAGCTCTACTTAAAAGTACATTTCCTGATTTTGTTTTAGTGTCCAATAATATTTGACTTAGGTTAATTTGTTGATTTGGTGGCATTTCATCAAAGAGTATAACTTCAACAATGTTGGGAAAGTTTAAAAAAATATTTTAAAACAACGTTATGTATTATAACTTCATAAAGGTAGTACCACTATGTCCTCTGCTCAGTTTTTGACAGATGTTTAAGCATTTGAATTATTTCCATATTCACTACTATTGATGATTGATTACATTTTTAATTGCACATGTCTGATGACTTCTCTGGTGACTTATCTTGTAAAAACTTGTGTGGTACTGCAATACCAAAATCCTAGAGGCTGTTATTTGAAACCATTATGTATATAATTTGAATATTTCCACTGGCATTATTAAAAAAAAAGACACTATGGCAGATATCAAAGCATACTGCTGCTACTGCTCTCCTTCCAGAAATCCATCCTGGGAACATTGAGATGAATGGACTGAAAACAACATACACTGGTTCTCACCAGGATTAACTTAAAAAAAACTTATTCCATCAGACTTGTTTGCAAAATGCTAAAATATCATAAAACTCTTATATATAGTGGCTTTAAGTAATATAATTATGTACAGCACAAAGTCACAATGGATACCTTGATAGTAGGTGTGGCTTTACAACACTCTGATGCACAAGTTCAGACACTTTGGGTTCTCGACAGGCTGTAGGGGCAAATCAAGCAGGTGACTATTAGCACACAAGACTCACTTTCTGAGCCTCCATTGATAAAACAACTTTGTTTTGGTCACCTGGATAATTGTGGGCACAAGGGGCAAGGCATTCAAAGTAAACAATACAATTTTATGCTTAAAATATCAGGGCCAAACATACTGTTTATAAAGAAAAATTCAAAACCACTTATCAATTCATCTTTTCAAATTGCTTTTGTTTACTATAAACTCATGACAGTGCTCTAATTGCTAAATTTTCCCCTTCATGTCAGAATTTGTTCATTTAGAGGAAAATTGTGGTGTCAAATAAACAAATAGGACTGCCTGTATGTCAGAAACATTTTGTGCTGTCCTTACATAGTAATGAAGTGAGAAAATAGACCATACTTTTTGTGTAACAGTGTGTTCCCAAGCTCAGTGTGTTTCTGAAAACAGTTACCTCTCAAACACTTGGGTGGCCTGCCACTCCAGGATCCATTAGAGAGGCAGGTAGTCTGGTGGTTTCCACTCAAAATGTAGGAGTTTTTACAGAAAAACTCAATTGTCTCTGCACCTCCAGCTGTGTCAAGAGCAGGTCTGTGGTAGCCATTGAGCAATTTAGGCAGAGGGGCACAATGGACTCTGCTTGTTTGGCCTGTAGGAGTATAGGTTTAAGAGACAAGAGATGAATCTTGCCTAATAAATGCATCATGTGCCCTCTATATGGTACAAACACCAGGAAATGAAGAACAGACGTGACCTAATGAAAAGGTACCTTTTACACATGCTGGAACTACCCCGCTCCAAGTGCCATTAGGCAGACAGGTCCTCTGCTGGGAGCCAGTCAATACGAATGGTGGATGGCATTGATAGTTTACAGATACAAGCTCATCCTTTGAGCCATATATAGGCAGCAAAAATCCATTTACTGGTTTCTCTGGGGGTGGACACACTGGTTTCTTGATGGCTGAAACTGGAGAGTAAATTTCTGGCTGTGATAGATGAAAGACAATCCTACACTAAGTCAACAGGTAATGCAAAAAAGTGCACAACTGTCATTACAATTCATTAAAGCCACATAAATGATACAAAAAAGACAGCTGAAAAGACAGTTTAAAAATGTGCTGATGCTGCTGTTATTTGAGATATTGTATCCTGAATGTTGAAAAATGCTTCTGTGGTATATCAAAATTTATTTTTGCCTTAAAATGAATAACATATTTCAGTTACCCCTTGCTGCATAGGCAGTCAGGAAGTTATTTCTTTATAGTTTTCTTAATAAGACCTAATTTAATTTGGTTAAATATTCTTTTCTCTTTATAAAATATTGAAAATGTGACAAGTTCAGAAGTGAATTGGGAGATAATAATGAGTGTTGTCTTAGTTGCTGTTTTTGTTGCTACAAATGTAGCTACTGTTCTGGCCAAGAATTTAACAAAATCCATAATAATAAACAATGGATGTTGCTGAGATTCCAGACCAGCCTCATTTGACTAAAAAACCTGGAGCATGTCTTATTTGAACTCCAACAAAGGATGGCCATTTTTTCTAGAGGAATTGACCTCTTTCATTGCTGCCTCTGTCGTTGCCTTTTAGTTTGGCCCATTTTTATACTATCTGGTAGTATTTTGCTCAGAAATAATTATATAGCTAAAATAAAATTTCTCAAATTTTTTAATCTTTACAGAAACATTGGTCATGGGGGCCTTACCAGCCATTCAGTCTGTATTACTATGATATGCTCAGTCTAGCTATCAAAAGTTAACATCCATGAAGGAAAAGAATGGATAAATGGGATGCAAGTTAGATGCATGGTTTACTTCACACAGGGCAAATAGAAAGGAGCAACTATGATAAATCTGTGTCACTGACTGCCCGCCTCACATCACTGCCTTGTGCAGGAGGTTGAACACACACAGAGGAATGATAAAAAAAAGCCCAGGAGCAAATATGGTACATACAAATGCACTGAGGGACAGCGGAATGTTATCTCTATCATATTATCTTGAATACGAATATATCATAGTGATACATTATTGTTAGTTTTATGTGGACTCCACAGAAGAAACCAAGTTTATACAGTGCATCAGCTGACATCGTGTGGACACAATATGATAAAACAATATATTATAATGAAATACAGTGGTGTGAAAAAGTATTTGCCCCCTTACTGATTTCTTATCTTTTTGCATGTTTGTCACACTGTAATGTTTCAGATCATCAAACAAATTTAAATATTACTCAAAGACAACACAAGTAAACACATCATGCAGTTTTTAAATGAAGGTTTTTATTATTAAGGGAAAACAAAATCCAAAACTACAAAGCCCTGTGTGAATAAGTGTTTCCCCCCCCTGTCAAAACATAACTTAACTCTGGTTTATCGC